AATGATCCTCCTGCCTCAGCCTTCCAAAATGCTGGGACTATAGGCATGAGCCATCACCCAGCCCACAGCCTCAATCTCTAGCCCCAAAGTCCCTGCCTCTCCCACTCTCCCGGGGGAGGGCAGAATAGGCTGGGGATGGAGAAAGGAAAGAGAAGAGTAGGGTGGAGGTTCTTCCTATCAGTAGGAGAGAGGTAGAGAAGGACTGAGCTGGCACGGGGCCCTGGGCGACAGGGAACTGTGCCAGCCCCACCAGCCTCCTCCCTCCCCTCATGTGTGCTCTGCAGCCCCGGGGCTGAGTGGGCTCCCTCTCTGGCATCGAACTTCTTTGTCACACCCCCACCCTTGCCTCAGGACTGGCTACACAGGCATCCCTTTCTGGTCCAGTCAGGCATATAACCCCAGGCTGACAGGCATCCGGGTGCCAGGGCAGCTTCAGCTGGCCAAGGGTGAGGTCATAGGCTGAGCACTCAGGGCCTGGCCCCTCCTCCCTCTCATTGCAGGCTCAGCCCTTGCCCTGCCCTTCTGCAAAATTCCCCTCTGACCTCCCTTCTGCCCCACAGCTTCCCCGCAGCAGGCTCTGGCTTCTACCTGGCAAGGCCTAGCGTATTAGTTTCCTTTGGCTGCTGTAACAAATCACTACACACTTAGCAGCTGAAAGCAACAGAAATGTACAATCTTACTGTTTTGGAGGCCAGAAGTCTGCAGTGGGTCCTCAGGGCTGCGTTCCTCCTGGAGGCTCTAGGGGACAACCCATTCCCTTGCTTTTGCTGACTTCTAGCGGCTGCCCCTTCCTCCATCTTCAGAATCAGCTATGTAATATCTTTAAATGTCCCTGTCTTTCTACCCTGCTTCCAGTTTCACACCTGCGCTGACTCTGACACCCTTGTCTCCCTTATAAAGACCCTTGTGGTTATATTGGGCCCATCTGATAAACTCTGATAATCTCCTCATCTCAAAACTTTCCATTTAATCACATCTGCAGAGTTCCTTTTGGCATGTAAGGTAACACATTCACAGGTCCTGGATTATGGACATCTTTGTGGGGGGCCACACCTAGCTAGGATGGTGACCTCCTCCCTAACCAGAGGAAGTAGTTCTCAACACGTTACCATGATCTCATGCTGTCCTTGTGGGGCAGCATGGATCCCCACAGTACAGACGACAAGCCTCGCTGACTCCAAAGCCTGTGGCCTTGTTGCAATCTCAAGGTTGCCTCCAAGATTGGAAATAAACCCCTCCCTCCTGGAGCTCCCCCATGGCCCCTCTGCTTTGGCTGGCA